ATGTTCAATAATTTTAAACATGGTTTAAAAGATACGAATCAAACAAGTGATTAATCAGTTGTTTGCCCTGTTACAGCGATGCTGGTCAATTCTAAATGCTCTTTCTGCTGTGTTAAATGTTCCTGCTAAATGTGAGGATGAACAATTACACAGCTCTGAATGTGTGAACAATTTATACAATGAAAGACCTGAATATTTTAGCACATAGAGCCAACAAGTATTTATCCTTAGTTATATTGCTCACTTTCAAATGGCGTGCTCCTTCTTGAAGCAATATAAGCACAATACTTATGAACAGTCCCAAACTTCCCTTTAAACAAACTAGGCAAATATTGATGGGCAATAATAGCAATCTGGAAAAGGTTTTATTTTATAAAGGTGTTGCCGGCTGTTACATCAGATGCACTCTCTTATCTACCCAGTTGCTGAAGTTCCATTGTTCAAGTGAAGTTAGCAAAGATATGCTATATAAGCACACATGAAGCTTCAGTACTTATCTATGACTGTGCATAGAATGCTTACCCATGCTACAACATTAACTAGTTTAAGAAGTAGGGTAGGGAGAGCAAACAGTATGCGAAGGCTCAAAGATCATTGCATAAGACACAAGCCCTCAATTTTATTTTATTGTCTGAACACGAGTAATAATTATCAAATATTTCCATTACACTTTTTAAATGAAATTTCTGCTGGGTCAGCTAAATTGATCAGTTGCTTGAAACATGTATGTACGTAGTGAGCATTGGATGGACAACAGGAGGAATTTCACAGGAACTGTTGCTGGCCCCGCTCCTAAGTGGCACTGAGGTCAGTCTAATCTATCACCACCCACATTCACATACAACACTCCCACACAGAGCAAACAGCCAATCATGTTTCATCCATTCCCACACTCATACATGTGTCCTTGTCTGCTAAGCTGTGTACTCTCCCTGGGGCCTTATATGTACGTAGTGGGCATTGGATGAGATGTTCCCCTCAAACAACCATGAATTTCCCAAATAACGACAGACATTAAAACTTGGATATAACAGGCCACAGCATTTATTAAACAACCAAATACTGTATAATGTATCCAAATATATAAAACTGAACATACTAAAACAATCATAAATTAACATAGAAATAACGTTGCATATAGTCATACAGTAATGTAAGCAAAACACCCTTGCCAATCTAACTCATGCTTTCCCAAAGGCTCTCACTCCCCCCCGGCATAATAAATTCCTCTTCCCTTTTGGGTTCCCCACCAGCTGTCATTTAGCTCAGTGGGGACACGTCCAACCTGGTATCCCTTAAGGTTCACCATAAGAGACAGGAGAGGATGAGACAGGGCCATTATCCTTTTACTCATCTACCTGCAAACCATTTCCCATCCTATTTTGCAAGGACATGCCCCCCGCCACAAACCCGCTGTTTTATGACTAAAATCAGTGTGGGGCCCACCCAAACAACCCAAGGCCTGTTCCACCACCTCCTGGATCATCAAATCAAAGAGATCGAGTCCGACCTCAGTCAATAGATGACCTCATCTATTGAACTTCTTGCAGCAATGTTCCAGTGCACTTTGGCTGTGGGCTGGCGGCAATAGTTCATAGCCACTACTTCCGACCAGATTATACAGACGTATAGGAACAAGATCAATATCTGGGACAAGTCTCTTTTCACCATTTCCACCAAACCCCTGATCAGCATGGTCCCCAGGTCATTGTCCCCCATATGGATGACCAAAACAGATGGCACCCCTAGCAGGTGAAAGAGCCTGACTAATTCTAGGAGGAGCTGAACACCTGGCATCGAACCACGAACCTCCGCAGTTGAAGGCATAAAACTGAGAAGCCCCCCTCCCGGCCGGACTGCTGCTCATTGCTCACTGCCGTTCCCAGTAGATGTAGGAGTGCCCGATCAACCAGACCCTGGGGGGAACTAAACCTGGGGAGGAAAATAACTAAGCTTAGCAGACCGGCAGGGTGCACAAATCTCCTGGTTATCCACCTCCCTATCCTCTGCACCTCTTGATCTGGCATACCCAGCTGAGAAGCCTCCATCACAGTGCCAATTCTGAAATTATTAAATACAGTTAGAACAAATTAAAACCGGTATATCATTTTTTTTATTTTTTTTTCATGTTTTTCAATTTATGTATTGATTATTTTGATTATAAATAAGTATTATGATATATATATATATATATATATATATATATATATATATATATATATATATTAATATTAAAATACACTTTTATTAATGATGTATGTATGTGTATATAAAAGTACTTAGAACTGATCCTGGCTGAACTGATCCTGATGAAAGCCACGGGTGATGGCTGAAACGTCGATACTATTGGAAAATATGTTCTAAGAAATTTGAAATAAAGGAAGAATATTTTTATACAAGAAAAAGACCATGAGTGCAAGCCCTCATTTGCTATATAAATATATATATATATATATATATATATATATATATATATATATATATATATACATAATTATTGTAGGTCAGACCCATTTCCCCAGTAACTGGACGGCACACAGTTCCAGGGTACAACGTTTGAAAATCTTTATTAGGGCACACAGCTTTTTATGCACAGACCCCCACAGGGGGTCTCCATCCAACACAACACAATGCCAGGCAGGAGAGGGCAGGAGATAACCATCTCCCACTCTAGGAGATACCAAACAGTACACAGGGATACACATTCTGGGGTTACACTTTGGGGAAGGGGTAACAGGGTTGAGACCTACATTGCTAGATAGCCTCGGGTTCCATCTGGGATCTTTGCAAAAATGAGGGAATGTACAGAGCCCGAGATATCAGCATCGAAAGTCTGGGGCTCGCTGCTCTGTACATCCCCAAAATTAGTTCCATGGTGTTGCTTGGTTTAGTCCGGCGAATTCAAACTTCGCGCCCAAACCAAGCAACAACCAATCAGCTGAAAGGGCGCAAACCAAATCACGCCAATCAGCCTTCCGGGGAGGAAGAAGTTTTGACATCCAATCAGAAGAAAAGGTGCGAAACTCGGCTGCACCATCGGTGCTCGAGGAGGAGAGGGGTTTCACGACCCAATCAGAAGACAGGGCGTGAAACCCGATTGCACCAATCCTCTGAAAGGCATGAAACCTATTCGCGCCAATCAGTGCTCAGGGACGAGAGGGCTTTCGCCATTCAGTCAGAAGGAAGGGTGCAAAACCCAGTTTGAACAGCACTCGTTTTCTGATTGGTCGCTCGGTCTTCGCGGCGACCAATCAGCGCTTACTCGTAGGATGATCCCCGACATGGTGATACAAACCGGCGGCCACCCAGGGGAAGCACGTGACGCTTGTTCCCTTGTGGTCTGCAGTATTCACACCTCGTTAATGAGGTGCAAACATTCTAAGTAGATGTTCTAAATGGAGTGCCGGGGTGGTCCGGGAAACAGGGCTCTGTGCGCTGGAGCCCCCCCGCGTGGTTGACACTTGCAGACTGTGGTTTTTACACCTCGTTAGCGAGGTGTATAAACTCTAACTACACATTCTAAATGGGGCATGAGGGTGGTCGGTGCATGAGGTTCCATGCACCGGAGTGCCTCCGGGTGGTTAAAAGGTATTGTGCAGGAATTACGGGCAAAATTACAGAAAGGGGTAAGTTAAAAAGGGGGAACACACATTCTAGAAGGGCACATCCACACATAGAAAAAGGGAAATTCCCAGTTAGGCAGCAGTCATGCCACAAATATATAAGTACTTTTGATTTAATTTAAAAACTGTTTTATAACTTTTTTTACTTTTAAAAACTTTTTTACAGGCATGAGGGGGACTGCCTGATAGTTCAGGCAGGCCCCCTAAAAGCACTGCATAAGCCAGCTATTCTGGCCATGTGATCGCGAGGACCCTGCAATCACATGACCGGGGGGCTGGATCGGGCAGAGGGAGAAACATTGCAAATTCTGACTAAATTAGCAGAGGTTAAAACCTAACTCACGGGGGAAATAGTCTGCAATTTCCAAGGGGTCAAAGTGGAGATTCAGGCACTGGGGGTGCCCACCTCCGACATGGAGCAGCGGGTGGAATCAGTGGCACAGTGACCCACGCCGACTCCATGGCACAGCAGCTGGACAATTTGGAGATGCTGCTAAAGGAACTATCCAACTACTCCAGGAGGAATAATTTACGGAAAACTGAGAAGGGGGGCAGTTTTGTGAATACTAAAAAAGCAAAAAACGCAAAAAACAAAAATAAATAAATAAAAAATACATTTAAAAAATAGTGAAAAATTACAAAGAAAATATCCTATTTCTCCGGCCCCTACCCCACCCTTGGATTTTAACACCGCTTAGTTGCTGAGTAAGGAACTAGAGGTCACAAGGGTAATGTCCAGACCACAGGCCATAGTTTTCCCCCAGGGTCCACCGTCCACGATAGAACCAGGATGGATCCCTACAGGCCCAGATTAAGGCTGTCACTAGGCTCTCTCAACTAAATACCAATTCCTTATTTTATACCCAAGGCACTATTGTATTTTAGGGCGCATATGGGGAGCGAGCACTCATTTGGACCTCGAGGGGGGAGGGAGAGACAGGCAGGAAATGCTTTGGTCAATACATATGTCACAGTGTGTGGGTCTTGCACATCAATGCACAGCGGCTTATGGCTGGGAGTCGCCACCCGATGCTGGGAACACGTACCCCCTGGACCATTCTGGCGATCTGAAAGACCCAACTTTATTGTTTTTTCTTATGTTTAGTGTTCTGTTTATATTTATGCTTAAGTTGCTCAAAAGATGTATGTATGATACTCATTGTCCACTTGTGCTCTCGCTCGGGGCTTGGGTTGTGGATAACACCCGTGGCGCAGGGACTTGCACATGATTTGAGGAGGGCGGAGGGTTCATAGGGAACTTGGGAGGCCCCAGGGGGAGACCCTGGCCCCGAGCAAATGTGGCACTAGGGTACACCCAACCACTGACACCTTAGAATGGCCCAGTAGCTATTCTCCTCTAACCTTAAAGGTCTGAATGCCCCCACCAAGCATAAACTCTTGTTAAAAGAGCTGAAGGCCAAGATGGCCGACATCGCACTGATACAAGAAACGTATATTCCGGAGCAGCATCCATCAGGCTGTGCAATCGAATGTATACCATGACCTATGAGGCAAGAGCAGGCGCAGGTGTAGCTATCCTGATACATAAGCCGGGTGACAGGAACACAAATAGACCAGAGATATAACCATCATGGGCACATTACACACAACCAAAGCCCACATACAAAACATATACGCACCTAACGCCTCAGACCGCAGTTCTGGGACTTCCACACCACACTGGCGAAAACGGGGGTGGTCATAGTGGGCGGAGACTTCAGTGTAGTGCCATGTCCGGCAGTCAACATAAGTTCAAAGGGGGTGCAGTGATCACATGGCAGAGGGGCTTAAGATAAATTACTGCAAACATTTATAGGACACATGGGACTACTAGACGTGTGGCTTCTACAGCACCCAGACACACGGGATTATACATATTATTCAGCACCCCACGACACTTACTCGACACTTGAGCCTGCTAAATGACGAGCATATAACGCAGGCAGTGACAGAAGCCCCCACAGAGTACTTTGAACACAACAACACACAAAACGTTAACGCCACAACACTATGGGCAGCACATAAGATGGTTATCAGGGGCCACCTTATAAAAGCAGACACACACAAAAAAATAGACAGACAACTAACCAGCTCCTAAAATTACAGTCTGAGGAAAGCAGAACTTCAACACTGGCTTAAGCAGTCTATAGTGCTCCCTGATTGGCTGCAGGGGAGCATGTGAGCATGGGCGTGTAAGTAAAACACTAATTTGAAAAAAACTGAACTGGCCCTTTAAGGGTTAAATGTAGAAACCCTAATATGCTGTACAGCTGCAGCGGCCGGCGTCTCTAATGTTTGGAGAACCGACCGCTGTAAGAAGAGGAGGAGCCACCACAAGAGGTTAGAGATAGGCAGCATTCCCACAACCACGTGGGACTGCCGAAAGGTAAGAGACCGGTGACATTCCCCTTAGTTGCTTGGGAATGCCACCGCAACAATGCACGCCGGCCAGGACCCATGTCGCTCTTTGACAGGAGCAGACCCGGCGGGCGGCGTGACATTCCGCTACCTGTAGGTACACAAATTCTCGGCCCTAAAAGAGTTCCGAACAGTAGCTATGGCCCCTTTGACATCTTTTGAAAAAATATGCTTTAGAGAAACGTCTCCATGTTCACTACTATACTGTCCTGCTTTATACAGACCAGTGGGAGGCGGACGTGGGGGAAAAATTGGAGGGGATGTACTGGGAGGACATATGGGAGGCTAGCGCACAATCCTCAATCTGTGTAACATTTCAAGAACAGGCATATAAGAAGCTCTTCCGGTGGTACACCACCCCCTGTCAAACAATACCATATGAAGATTAGCCACTCAGACACCTGCTGGAGGATGTGCGGAGAAAGAGGGAGTTACGCATATATGTGGTGGTGCTGTCCCAAGGTACTTGACTTCCGAGGAAAAGTGGTGGGACTCAGCTCAGCTCAGATCGTACAAAGAACACTTACACATGACCCCTGGGTATGTCTTCTTTTTAGACCTACCGAAGGGTTAACCAGACATGAGCAGAAACTTCTTAATATGGTCTATTTAGCGGCCAGGCGAGCCTTAGCCCAGAAGTGGGTAAGTTGTAGTTATAGCCAAGATAAAAGATAATTATCTCATGGACAAACTGACAGCTTAGGTACAAAGCTCAGTTAAGACCTTTCAGAAGGTGTGGGACCTGTGGGAACAATACATGGTATGAGTGGGAGGGAGAGTTGACGCAGGAAGCACGGGGAAAATGGGTGCGTGTGGGTGGGGGGGTTCAGCAAAACTAAGCCTTTTATGCACAGACCCCCAGTATGGGGTCTCCATTCAAACCAACACAAACCCCTCCCATGCATCTATGTATCTGGGAGATTAGTGGCTCAAAACTTAGTAACTCAATTATCTCTCAGTTACAGAAAACCACGTACAAAAATACATAAAACACCCCAAAAACAGTCACTATCTTAAACTAAACTTGACCAAAACTTAAATTCTGGTCTTTCCTCCCTCAAGTGTTGTTACTCCTGTGTCTGTCTCCCTCCAAGTCAATGGTGCTACCATCAGCTCCACCACGCAGGCTCGCTGCCTAGGTGTTCTCTTTGACTCCGACCTCCTCCGACCTCCTTCAAGCCTCACGTTCAATCCATCGCCAAATCCTGTCATTTCCATCTCAAAAACATTGCGCGCATCTGCCCCTACTTAACGACAGATGCGACTAAGATGTTGGTCCATTCCATTGTCCTTTCTCGCCTTGACTACTGTAATCCGCTTCTCAGTGGTCTTACGTGCTCCCAACTTGCGCCGTTACAGTCCATAATGAATGCGGCGGCGAGGCTCATCTTCCTGTCCGCCCGCACCTCCCATGCCTCACCCTTCTGTCAGTCCCTACATTGGTTTCCTATAAAATATAGAGCTCAATTTAAAATTCTGGTTCTTGC